GAGGGCCTGGTGCCTCGGAAGCCTGCCCTTCTCCGGCCTCAGTGGCCAGCAGTGGGGACAGGGCATCCAGGGCAGGCCCATGGTGTCATATCAGAGGGCGATGGCTAGGCCCTGCAGCCGGTGGACAGCAGAGCTCGCTGGGCACTGGGAGATGCGAGAGGAGGCCCGAGGGCAACCTGCTCCAGAATAAGGCCCCACAGCCCCCCTGTTAGCACAGGGACCCCCCCCCACCCTACCCCCAGTCCTGCAAATGGGAAGACCGGGCCCTGGGCAGGGACCCATGTGGCACAGCATGTAGGCCTGGACCTAGACCAGACTGTGACTCTCCGGGTGGTAGGGCTGGCAGGTGATGGATAAGTGTCTGGGGTCAGACCTGCCAGGGACCCCTCCTGCCTGCCCCTGGAGCCCCTGGGCCTGGGGCCCTGGGTGGAGGTGGCCCCAGCAGCCATGCCTGCTGTCAGGGACAGTCAGGTCACACACACACACACACACACACACACACACACACAGTGCCATTTCCCCAGGTTTCTTTCTATTATTAACACACACACACACACACACACACTGTGTCATTTCCCCAGGTTTCTTTCTTTCTATTATTAACACACACACACACACACACACACACACACACATCATGTATGGAAATAGGGAAAAGACCTATGTGAACCTCCTCAAAGCGCTCTATTGGAAGGCAAGGGCCATGGCATGTACGAACGGTGGTGAGCAGATAGGCCGGTTGTTTTAGACAGGACGCACACTGTGTATGCGTGTGTGCTTTGGCGGTGAGGCACATCATGATGAACAGGAGGGGAGGAAGGAGTTGCTGGGTTCTGGGACGTTTTTCTGGGTGTGGGGGTCTCTCTAAAAGCAGCGTTGGCCTGGTGCCTTGTTATGCAGCCACAAGCGAGCCCCTTGCAGGCTGCTTGTTAGAGATGTGGGTCAATTTTCCAGAACTTTCTTCCTCTAGTAGCCACCCCAGAGCTCTAAGGACAGAAGTGATGGGCCAGCAAGCAGTGGGCCGGCACATGGGAACCTCTGC